TCTTCACGCAAAACCTACTTCCTCCATTGTATAACTTTCGTAATATGAGGCGTGCAATTTTTTATTGATGTTTTTATATATAGCACCATCTTGAGAAAAACAAAGTATGAATAGCACGGAAACTTTACCTTGGTTTACTGACCTTATCTTTGTGGCCACCCAAAAATATGCCTTGCAATTTAAAATGGAGGGAGTGTATTTACACTTGGGAGGGCATGAGCTGTTGCCAAATATGGTTTTGTGCCTGGCAGTTTTCCTGTCTCGGCGGTTGAAAAAAGGAAAGAGGAACCTGCGTTGTTGCTAGCTTTAACAACCTACATGAGCACACGGAAACTTTTCAAGTATTCAGCAGCATGTCAGCATCCCATCTTGGTGCACTGGTCATGGCAAATCTCATCAAAAATTCAAATCCCCCTTCACCATGAATTAGCACCACCATATTACTGTATCGGCGCATTATGCTACAAGCAAGTGATGCTGATTAACAGATCATACGCGGGAGCATCAATACAACTCCAGTTGTTATTATTATAGAGTAGGCTCAGTTTTGCTGAGGAGATGACCCGAGATTTAGTACAAATATTACATACTGAACATGACACAACAACGGAACAAATAAAAGTTCTAATACAGTAACAGATGTCTGCTCTTCAGCCTTTTGATCGCAGTAACCTTAACAGATTCAGTTCAACTGATCAGTTGCCATTGCACCGACACAAATTCTCGTGGATGATAAAACTGACAGTAACAAAATGGTCCGATTGCTTCAGCAAGTAACGAAAACAACCACTTTGACATGAATTTGTACAATAACATAACAGATAACCTTCTCGCCAAGTCGCGACGACACAGGAATGTGTAACAAAATGAAAGCGACAATGTCAACCTTTGCTGAGAACCGTCAGGGCGAGGCAGAGGGGCACGGGCCGAATGCCGTGCCACATGCTATCCACTGCTTCTTGCGGCTGCAAGGGAGCATGCAGTCAGGAACCTTCTGCCACTCCTTGCTCACAAGGTTGTACATCACGAGGCGGTTCATCCGCTTCGCCTTCAAGGAGAGCATGAGCAAGCCGCTGTTGCCCAGGCAGGTCATCCTCATGTGCTTACCGTAGAATTCTAAGCACCAGATATTTGGCATTCTGTCCACCTCCTTCCAGAGGAGAGTCATCTTCTGCAACTCCCAGATGCAGACGCAGGTTGCTGCGTTCTTGCACAGCAGACCCACAAGCATGATCTTCCCCTGGAACTCGGCAAGTGTGTGGTCAGTCAGATGCAGCGGCAGCGGGATGATGAAATGAATCCAAATCCCAGTGCTTACATCATATGACAAAACACCCTCGGGTTCTGAGCACATGAAGTACAGCGTGCTGCCAACCGCGACTGGCTGTGACCTGAAATTTAGAGCAAGTGGGAGCTTGATGCTTGGAGGAAACTCGCCTGGCTGAGACCACATATTCTGCACTGAGTCGTAAACTTCATGATTTCCATCATTTCGCAACCACATCACTTTGTAACCCTCATTAGAAGTTCTTCCATTCAGCACCATCCCCACTGACACTCTTGACCATGCCTGGACTGACCTGGGAGGAATTTCCTTTAGTGATTGTGTAAGAGGGTTGCATATGTAGAAGTTCCTGTGGCTAAGATCCAATAAGCACACAAGGCCACCTGCAGATGCCACTGGCATTACTATGTTTGCAGGAGCAAGGGGAACAGAAGGGTGGTGCCACTTGTTTAGGGAAGGGTCATACATCGCTACATTGTTGTTGCCATTCTCATGTGTGATTGTATAGAACCATGGCATTCCCTGTGGGACTTCAGAGTACTGCTGAGAGAAATTGTCTGAGACTACCAGAGAACACCACTTCCGGCAAACAGAGCGGAATCGGAAAATTGCAGCCACTGGAAGCCTTGCAATGACAGTTTCAAAAAGGTCTTCAGGGAACTCGCTCCAAATATCTAGCTTCATTGCTTCAGCCGAGTTCAGGAAGGATGCTTTCTCTCGGTTTCTGTCTCTGCGTGGTCGCTTGCGAGGAGGAGATTGGTTAGCTTCCATGATCTTCAATAATTCCGAATTGTACCCAGTCCTTTCTCCACAATAATCATCCTTGACCGAACCATGCTCAAAGTCAAGTAAATACCACCTGTAAGATATTAAAAAAAAATAGTTCATCTTAGTTGATAGCAAAGCAATAGAAGAATTCTGAAACTGCTAAGGAAAGGAGATGATCAACAGTTTAGTGTAGGACAGGAGTCATTACTTTGTCTTTAATAAGTGCTTCACAACTGTGTTCACAGGTTTGTCAAATCATGAACACAGGTAAGCAATTAGCTTTTTGTAGCAAGCTAGGATTGTTACATTTTATATTATTTGTTACGCCACGTGGTAATAACGTAGAGGTAGCCTGATCAAATAAAGCAATCTATGTTGCTAGCAGACCAACTAGATGTTTCTAACGAATATTAGAATTGCTCACCAAAGTGTAAAACATGCACATACTCTTGCAAATACAAACTAAAGTGGCACAGAAATATGCTTTACATGCATATTGGATGAACATGTTAGGATACTTAATTGCTCTAGGGCAAGCTGCGTGACCATGTGCGCAGTCTAAAAAGATTTTGAAACACCATCCAAACCCATAGGATTACCAAAATGGAGTCTAGATTGTTTATCGTTTTAGCTATGCTGACTTGGTGAGCACAAGCAAATAGCACAGCTTTTTAACCAATGGAATCATTGATTTTATTATAGCTTTATCCACAGGAAACAAATGCATATTTTATTTCCTAAAAATACACAGCTTAACTAAGCTAGGCAAGAGATAATCCCCAAACTGTAAGCACTATTCATGCAATGCTTGCAGAAGCACAGCAATAAAGTGATGAACAAATAAAGTAAGCATGCATCATCATGTTGTTCACCAGTTTCTATTTTTCTTCGTGGGGTATGTTGTTCACCAGTTCATATACACTACTTCTTGAATTTCGGCACCCTAGCGTTAGCGATCGAGTCTAAACTCATTTCCTTTTCTATTCCGTTCAAGGCTTGCAACAAACTAGTCTGAACGAGGACGCCGTCAGAATAATCACCATTTCCCGTTCGTCGCCTGGTTCCTTTGCCTACACGGAGCAGTACAAACGCGCCGCGCCTCCAAAGTCAACTTAATCAGGATATGTTACAGGAGCAGCATCGTTACATGCTCTAAAATAGTCTCTACGTCGCGCCTCGTTCCACCATCCATGGTCGTGGTGGATACGCGTGAACTGCGCCGGGGCAATGTCAAACGCTAAAGCGAAGCGGCTTCTCCGGAGGCTGGATAAAATAGTGGCATTAACAAAGGATTTTGAGGAGGGAACAAGCTAGCAGTGCGGGAGACGCCACGCCCAGTCGGCCATGCCCCTTGGTCGCACGCCACCGCGCCTCGAACTCATCGACCAAATCGACCGAGGCCACCGAGCGAAAAACGATGGGGGGAACTCGCGAGCCGCCGCAACCAAGTCCGGCAACAGCGCCAGCAATCTGAGCGCGCCAGCGGAGTATCCACGCGACCTAATTTCCGCGCCCCCGGCCGCGGATCAAACGGCCAAACGGGGGGCCGAATTCGGAGGAGCGCCGGCCGCGGAGCAGATCCGACCGAATCCGCCGCGACGGGGAGAGAAGGGGGGTGAAAGGGGATTGGGGGAGAGGAAGGAAGGGGGTTTGGGGATTGGTTTGGGGTGCTTGCCTGGGGATGGGGCCATGGGCGTGGGAGTGGACGGCGCCGTAGAGGTCCCAGAGCTCCTGCACCTGGCCGACCAGCTGCCGCAGCGCCGCCACCTCCCCCATCCGCCGCCACCGCTTCCCTCGGTCGCGGCCGCCTCTGTGTCTCGCGCTCTCCCCCCTTCCCTCCTTTTGTGGGGTGGGGGTTGGCTCGGGGGCAGTCGGCACGCTGCTTTTCTCTCGCTGCCTGCCTAAATGCTCGCTGCCTTGCCCTTGCCTTGCCTCCCCGCAGCAGCCAGCCCGCCCGTGTGCCCCGGGCGTGTGTCTCTTTGTTCGCTCTGTGCGTGCGTGTGGCCTGGCGCGTGCGCGGCCGCTGGATTATATGCTGTGCGCTCCGCGCGTGAGCCGTGGTGCTGCCACTGTGGCCGCTTTGCCGTACTCGTGTGTGTGTGGTGGTGTGGTTACAGTGTAGCAGTGTGGTGGTGTTACGGTTGGTCGGACGGATTGCTTGCTTGCTTGTCGTGCCCAACGGGATGGGTGCGGTGCGGGTTAAGTTAGCATAATTGTGTGCGTGCTCCGGTTGGAGTGAGTGAAACGTAGCAAGGACAACACGTTCGTATGCACGCAGGCTAATTCACCGTGCTGGTGCTAGCTTCAGAAAAACAGTGTGTGTTCACAATGAGAACCAACCAATGTTTGGATGGTTAGGACAGCAGTGGTACCTTCAATCCGTCATCAGACATCAAAATCACATGATGCTTTGTTAGTGCAGATATTCTTTGAATGAAAGGCTACGTTTACGTCGATACCGAGGTGTCCGTCGTGATTTTGTCGATTTTCAAGATCCACGACGTGCCACATTGTCTCTCTCTACCCACCTCCGCTCTCCTGTACCACTCCGCCCCTCTCTTCTCCATCTCTTTGTTCTCCCGGCCCCACAAACGGTACATGCATCAAATGTCGGTATGCTGATGAGGCATCGATCCGACGGTAAGAGCTTGTCTACCGAGGTCATTTGTCATGTGTGTACCGGTCATGTCCATCGGCATCTCTTCCCCTTCTTTATTCTTCCTAGTCGACCCC